GAATTTCACGCAAAGCTACACGAGGGCTATCTGCGCTTGCCGTCCCTAATTTAGCAGTGTAAGACTAGACGGAAGGCAGCTAGTCATCACCACCCACCGCCAACTCTTGGGCTACTCTTTTACCAACGAATACTGTTTTTTTTTAAGTACAATTTAACTACTAAATCGAAAGTATCATTTAGCTCGGTTTCAGACCATTTGAAATTCTAATACGTAACAGCATTAACAACCTAGTTGTAAGATGGAAAAGCGTCATCGATAAGAATGGAAACTATTTCATTTAATAAATGTTTTGCTTTGATATACAAGTTGTTCGGGTTATTTCATCTTAAAAAAAAAGCGATATTAATTTTTTGACGACCTAATACAATAACTATATTGTTTTTTTATGTACCTAATTCATTCTTGCTGGCCATGTTGTACAAATAAATAATAATTATTATTATCGTTTAATTTTAATGTATCATTTTTAAAAGTTAGCTGTACCATGTTCTTATTTACTCCGAATAATTAGCCCATATTCTTAATTAATTTAAAAATTTTTAATTATAATTAACCTCAAATTTGCTTGTACCCTATTCAAGGGGCCTCACACTACCTTAATGCGGGCTTGGAACTGATCCTCCCCAACTTTAGATGGTGCTCTTACGTGATGTAATGAAGATCCGTCATGATTTTTTTTCTGAGAGCTGTATGATTAAGAGGTTCGCACACACACACACACTATCACGATTTGTGTTTACAATATATTTTCAAATATTTAATGGGTCATCTTTTCCATAGAATGAAATCCTATATTTCCATTAAATGTTGTTGAACAAAATCTGAACCTATATTATTCCTCGTAAACTATTAATACTTTAATTAAATCGTTTGTAGGCCTAGCATTGCAGGGCGCTTGACGCGCCATCTGTGGGCAGCGGGTTCGAATCTCATCACCGAACATGCTCGCAATTTAGCCGTGGGAGCGTTATAAAGTGACTGTCAATCTCATTATTCGTTGGAAAAGAGCTGCACAAGAGTTGGCGGTTGGTGGCGTTGATTAGCTGCCTTTCTTCTGGTCTAGGGACAGGTAGTCCTCGAGTAGCTTTGCACAAAATTCCACAAACAAACAAAAATCTTATGTGCTTTGTTACTTTATTTTCCAACCTACTAAAATATAAAATAATCAAAGCAGCAGTTTTTATTCTTAGACGGAACTTTTTAAAGCTATTTTCATCAATACGACAGGAAACAATTCCTTACTGTCATTAGTATCATAACAATGAAAGTGACGTCAATACCTAATTAGATATGTATATATTCTGACCTCAGTATGTTTTATGCAGTTAGCGGCAGTAGAAGTTAGTCATGTTTCAAGGTTAGTTCTCATACATAATGCTGTTGTTGTTTTAATGTCGTGTTTTTCTGGTCGAGAAATATATTCTTATGCTCTTAGTTGCTATATATTCCATATTACTCTTAGTTACTATATATTCCATATTACTCTTAGTTACTATATATTCCATATTACTCTTAGTTGCTATATATTCCATATTACTCTTAGTTACTATATATTCCATATTACTCTTAGTTACTATATATTACATATTATACTATGCAAATCAAGAGTTTAGTGGCAGGTAATATCCGTGGTTATAATGTTATCTTGGACTTATTTTCTTTAGTAGAAAATATTTGTATTTGTTGTTTTTGATGTTTCTGAGTTCTTCTGCTCCTCTAACGCTATTTCTTCTTAGCATATACGTTGTACTGGACCGTCGATTTAATGTATTAGTTCTTCACTAACACATCACAAATGTATTACTCTCGTTCTTAAGCTTATTCACCACCATGCTAGTTCCATAAAGAGCATGCGCACTAGTTCCATTTCATAGTCGCTGCAGCAGCTTTAGTTCTCACGACAAGCAGCGAGAAGAGAATATTGGAAGTTTGCCAGAGTAGAGAACAGCCGTGTATGTCTGTAGAACGTAGAAAACCACAAGTATCGTTGCTTTACTTTCCTAGAGATGGACTAAACGCTTGGTGATTGTACATGTGCGTAAATAAATCGTTCGAATTTTCTAGACTCTGTTGAGGTTGACCGAGTGAAGAGTTTCTCTACTCGCTTTTTATATATTTTGAAATTTCTAGGAACTTGAAACTTCAACGGTAGGCATTACACGATGAGCTAATCTACTACATGGCTGAAGAAGCCAAGCTCAACGAAGCAGAACTATTAGAAGAAGAAGCAAAACATGTAAAGCTAAGACTATTACTTGCTGAGTATACCTGACGATATACGCACCCCAAGCCTTCTGAAGGTTTGTAAAGGTACCGAAAATAACTTCCCAGTTAACTATTTCTGCGGCATTTGGATTATATATTTTACTGGAATTAGTTCCATTCAGCCAGCGACTGTTGCAATTTTAACCTTTTTCCTAGCTTAGAAACAGTACGTTTGTTGCTTTTAACAGGCGATTACATTTTCAGAGCGATGTTAAATAGCACAGTGGCGTTTTAATTAATCCTTGCTTACATGTTTGATCCTTAAACGTTTCGTTTCTACGGGATCCTCTAACTTTTCTAAGATAGCTTAGAATCAGGAGGTACAGAAGTCCACTCTTTCCTAATATATTAATCATTTACCAGTTATATCATAAAACCAAAACTACTTTACCAGAAACTAATTCGGGGGTATTCTATATGAGTTTTTAGAGATCGTGTTCTAAACAATCTGATTCTCGTTATTGTCTAAAACTTCATCTTTTGTCCCTAGCTGTGAGGTTAAAATCATGATCGTAGTTTTTAATGCTAAAAGTTAAAAGTTTTTGGTGAAAGGAAATAATTTAAAAATAAAAGATTATTTTCGAATGTTTTCACATTTGTATTTACAAAAAATCGAGTAAAAACTATGAGGAACTGTGTCATCAGTTTTTTAAGTTTCGACAGTTTTTAGTTAAAACAAATGTTTATATTATTAGCAATATTTCAGTTTAATTTGTATCGTGATAATTATTGTTAGAAAAGAAACACTTTAGAATTTATTGTTAAAGTAAACTAAACATTAAGCACGACGAGAAATCGTTGTTAAAAAGATTAAAACGTTCTGTTGATAATATTATGTTGTGGGTATACAGGAAACCACCCAAAAAGTTATTCATTGTTGTACAAAAACATTAAGAATTTTATGCTAAATTGGTATTGACGAAACGTCAAATGTCCAGTTTGTAATGGAAGTACTGTTAACCTGTGTACTGAGAGTATTGTTAACCACTGTAATGAAGGATTGTCCTTCACTGTGTGATGGAAGTACTGTTAATAGCAACATTTGAAGAAAGTGAAATTTTTGAAAGACCGCTATTGCACTGTGAAACTGAAAGCCGTTTTGACAGCAAGAAGGGTATTAAGAAAACAGCTGGATTCACCGCATAATCAAACCTGTGAAATACGTTTTTACAAGTATCATCTAGACTCTAGATATTTATTCAGATCCTAGACATTGGAGGTTAGCAAGGAAGTCTGAGGAATAACCATCGATTTTTCAAAAGAAAGATATGCACGGTAAGTCCTTCGCTAAGTATAACCAGAAACCATTACTTTATGTATTGAGCAAGGACGTAGCCAGTTGGATCGGGATGGGGACGAACATCCCATTATTCTAAGAAGTCTAAAAGGTCCACTATGATCCGAGTATTTTCGAATGAACACTTGACTTTCATATAAATCATTTAAGTTCTTTGTGTAAAAGAAAAGGTCCATTTTTTTTTTTTCGAAAAAGCGCTCTGTAATGCTGGCTACGCCCTATATACCAATGAGATTTAACACTGAGAGTAAAATAAGAGCACGTCTGATGATTTTTACCTGGCTTATATATGTGTAAGCGAAGTTTAAGTGTAGTAGCATGCTATATATACGTAAACTTTACTACTGAATCATTGAAACTGAATTTAGTATAGAATGTGTGGTATACATGATGTGCAAAGCGAGGAATACCAATGAAAGCAAACACAGTGCTCGTCCAACGAAACAATGACTCACTAGTTTAGTCGGTTTAAAGAACAAAATAATTAAATATAAAACAGCCTGCGGCTAAGACTGGTGAAGTAAACTGTCTCCAGTAAGAGAAAACCAGTCTGGAGATTGTTAAGTAAAACCCTCCTAGTGTTGTTTTAGGTGTCTTGCTAAATGATAGAGCCTAACAGTTGATCTCAGGGGGTTGGCCTTTATTTTATCCGTTTTAATTTTTCAAGTACATTTGTAATATGTAGATCATGTAGAAAGTAACCGAACTTTCTAGACCAACCATATAGGAGGGAGTTGGCTGTAAGAAACTGTGGAGTAAAACATGTAAGCACAGTAACACACAGAAGAGATAGAATATCCAGAAACATTAGATTGGGAACTTCCATGTAACTGCTAACATAACCACTGATGATAATACCACTGCTACACATTAAATAAATTCTTACAGACCATGATTTTTTTTTAATTTACTTGAAAACATGTTTGTGCAATTTGGCCAACATGTCTTCTAACGGATATAGGGAATCCCAATGGGAGATGCCTTAGTCAGTAAGTCACTGATCTGCATTTATTCGGACTAGAATTTTTATACTTCACAAATCTTACTAGATAAACTATAGTACAGCTTTGTACAAATAGAGATGATATTCTTATACCTAATTATCAGGGTTTTCTGGACATAGCCTTATAAATTTATCCGCTAGAGATCATTCTGGAAAAAAGCTCCCCCACTCTCAAGATTTAGATATCATCATCATTAATTGCACATTCAGGTTTAAAGTTTTCAATAAAACGAACACTTTCAACTTTTAAGTTATAAACTTTCCATTCCAAAATACGAATAATACAAACAAGTTATGTTACAATGCTTACTACTACTACTACTCGCACCTAATTCAATACACTAGAATTTGTTCATCATTAAAATATTCGTTTATTTATTTGTTAAGCACAAAGCTACACAATGGTCTATTTGTGCTGTCCAATCACGAGTATCGATACCCAGAGACTTACTACCGAGTCACTTCAAGATGGAGATGATAAACTAACAAGCATCTTTCATAATCGACGTTTTTCATTGAGAAAAATTATACATAAAATTCATTCAATTATGTGGAAAATTCAAAAATATGTTTGCTAAAGTTTGGGAGTTATCACAACCTTTTAGAAACTTTTACATCTACATTTTGATTCCTTGGGATGTTGTTTAGTGTTTTGATCACCATTGGTTTTACTATAATTTGTTAGATGTAGTTATTATTGTACATAATGAATAAAGTTAGTATTCCGAAAATTGTTTAATCCCGAAGTCTAAGTTCAAGGGAGGTCGAGTTCAATCTTCGTTTTGATCAACATGTATTATTGCGTTCTACTAGTTTAGGGGAATTCCACTCCTCTCCGAAAATAGTATAACCCCAAAACACACGTTAATCAAAGTGTGGACTGAACTGGACTTCCCTTGAACTTAGATTTCAAGATCAAATAATTTTCGGAATACTAAGTTTATTTATTATACCTGCTATTGTGCAGCTATATAATGTGAAGAACTGAATAGTGGCCAATTACACTTTCTTCATTTCACATATCCAATGAATAGGTTTTTCTCATAGTGACTACAAAGCACGTTCACACTAACAATACGTTTGATTATTGTACATAGTTAATATTAGATAAATTTAACATTACAACATTAGCTTAGTTCGAAGAGTTATATATTTATTTTCTTTGCCATATTAAGCCTCATGTATTTGTGAACTCAATATTAATTTTATATTAGTTATAGAAGTTTCGTATTTCTACATGCTTATCCTCGTTCCTTTTCGGCTTTTATAGAACATTGAACGTTATTCATTACTTCCAGCAGTAATCTTGTAAGTGTTTGCTACAGGGTTTATTTAAGTAATTCTAAGAACACATGACAGAGAATAATATGTTAAAACTATTGGTAAAAGTTTTTAGAAAAGCTATATATTTGGCCTGTTTTTTTCTTCTTATTATTACGTTTAGCGTTGTTATATCATAATGGTCGTGTTACGTATTATATCATTTTGTATTCATTGTTCTGTGTCTTCATGCGAATGTTTTTTTTGTACCACGAGAAAGTTGATGCACACAACTTGACACGCCTCTTACAAAACATTTCGCATTAATGTCGTACTTAACAAGTTATATAGTGAGAGAGGCGTACAGGTTTACTTTGGTAAAGTGTGTTATTAAGAGAGATTTTCCAAAGAAACGCACATCAATAGTTATGGTTTAGAACGGGAACTAGTGTTTATGGGTTTCCTAACTAAGATATACCATTTTCTTTATGAATTGTTCCTTTCATTAATAATATTGGTATACTATTTACTATATTGAATATAACTATTTGTTTATTTATTTCAATTAGTCGTTAGTTATTAAACATATATTACAAAGAATGACTAGCATTGTTAGCTTGGAATGTGTATTTAGGACTAACGTGGCCGAACCTCGTGAAATATTATTGGGTTTACGGCCGAAAACATCGTTAACAGCGAGTGTACCCAACTGATGAAACCAAGTAATCTAATCTTTATAGATATATACTTAAGAAAGGTATAATCAGCTAAACTGATTGCGAAGTTAGTCTTTGGTTTCGCTCTAAGTACATAGCTTACTGTAATCGACTTTTGAAATTGGAAATCTCTTTATATCCAATTCCTAAACCTTTTCATTGATTTTTGCCGTCCACTCCCATTAGAAAATTAGCAATAAGAAATTCTAATGGTCAATATTTTCTGCTACCATCGAGAACATTTTTTCTTTATTTGTGGAGCTGACCGTTAGAAACATGATCTTGAAGTTGTTGGTCCCCGGAACCAAGTATGTCAAGCACTGTCCGCTGATTGACTAGAGAGAGGGATGGAATGTTTGATTTTCATACCGAAGTAAAGGGCTCCTTCAAAGACTTGTGGTGGATTTTAAATCTATCGTGAAATTTGGAATAAAAGATCGTGTAGGGCTATCTTCAACATTTTATACATTACAAACGGTCCAGATCCCTTTTCCTTTCAAGAAAAGCAAGCTGTTAGAGTTGCTAAGTAGAAAAGCGACAACAGAAAACAAAATATTTTCAATCGTCGTATCTCACCTTAATAACGTTTCCATGGATGTTTTGATTTGAAGTATCATTATAAGATAGTATCATAATAACTGACACTCTAAAGTTTTAAAATTCTTCGCCCACACTATTACGATGTGATTTGTCAGAATCTCCTTGACATGACATGACGGTTCACAGTCAGTAGTTCTTATTAACAAGTCAGAAAAATCATAAAACAAAAACATGGTTTACCACCAATCGTTTTTTAATAACGCATGAAGTACTAAATAAATAACCGCCCTATGAGGGTTCGCCGTTAATGGTTTGTAATACATCAAAAACAAAATATTGACATAGGGTTTACCTACAATCGTTTTTTAAAAACGCATGAAGTACAAAATAAATAACCACCCTATGAGGGTTCGCCGATAATGGTTTGTAATACACCAAAAAAACAAACAAAAAACATTGACATGAGGGTTTACCGACAATCGTTTTTTAATATGACAAAGAGAAATAAGCCGGGTGTAGTCTAATGCTTAGCGTACCTGTATTTTGAATCGAAGAGTTCAGGGTTTGCTTTCTTTGCCAAGCCCCCCAGTAGCACAGCGGTATGTCCGCGGATTTACAACGCTAGAATCCGGGTTTAGATACCCGTGGTGGGCAGAGCACAGATAGCCCATTCTGTAGCTTTGTGCTTAATTACAAACAAACAAACAAATTCTTTGCCGCAAAAAGGGCTCTCCGCACTTTGGGGCTGGGGGTACGCTATAAGTGACAAGTTATCTTCCCT